CTCTCATAGTTGAGATCTACCTATGATGTCAATTACAGGCCTCTCTCATCTTTTTAAGTGGGAGAACTTGCACAATTGGTGACTGACTAAATACTTATTTTCCCCACTGTATCTTTACCCGAACAAAAAAAATGTTGTTTTATCAGCAGATACACACACCCAAAAAGTCCCGACGCATTGTTGTGTCCGGGTTTCTCCTTCACTGGCATCACAGACGAATGAAAAACACAAACCTGGCTCTTTTTCTATCTCTGGATCGGGACCTTCGGCGGTCTCGGCTCCGCGACCTGTCTCTCCTGCTCCGGTCTCGGTCGTCTTTCTTGGAGCGTCTTTCCGGGGAGCGACTCTTGGACCGGGTTCCCGACCGGCCCCGAGACGACGAACGCTTCCTGTAGTGTCTGTGGATCGATTAAAAGAGCTAGTGTGCTGTGTTTCAAACAGGAAAATAAAGAATAGGCCCTAAAGAACTGAGGAAAACCTACATCTATTTTAGCTAGCATGCTAACGTTAGCATTACAAAAACAAAGTGTCATTAAAAACCTTCTAAAACATTTTAATTGTTACGGAAACTTGGACATACCTCGATTCACGTCCCATTATGACTTCACGAAGTTTGGTCTCGTAAAATGTTAATTTACCTTACAGACAGTGCTGAATTATGACAGCAGTTTGTTTGTGTCGCACGAGCCGTGAACGTACGAAAACTGCGGGCAGGCAAAGTCCCAATGTGAACCTGTTTTCAGGACAGCGCCACCGCGCGGTGGGAGGCCGGAGGCGCAACTTGAAATAAGATTTTGCAGGTTTTGTAGCTGTTGTTCCAAACCTCGACTTGTAATAAATAAATWAATTAATTTAAAAAGATAAAATAACTACATTACTTTAAATGCAATTTTAGTTTAGTCTTAAACTTGCATGAGTATGATATAAAAAAACAGAGGAAAATAACAGGTGATGCCTTTGCCCAAATCTCTTTGTGTTTGTCTGTTAGCAAAATGTCTCATGATCCACTGCACAATTTTGAATGAAACTTGCACAGGTTAATTATTAGCTGAATAACTTTTGTAGTCAACTTAACTGAAGATGGCCACCTTAGATATTGTGACCTTAAAAAGTACAAATATGGCTGTAATTTTGGTGATTTTTACAGATACTTATCCTAAAATTTGGTGTGGCAGCATGAGTCATAAATCCTGACTATTAACATTTTACACTATTTTTAAAATGCTGCTATTAATGTTTGCACAACTATCAAATGGATTTTGATTTTTAGAAATAATTGGATGTAACGTTTGGAGTCATTCCTATTTAATATGGCGGCCTCACCCAGCTGACACATAGATATAACTAACGATCTATTGTTGTGTTAAAATTGTAGAAAAAAAATGATTTACATCAGATTGAGTGCCACTTATTACTACTGCCGACTCATAATAATGTGTATTCGCTTAAAACATTAGCCTCAACTGTTTTACTTTCTTAGAACATCACTTCTTTTTTCAATTCAAAGGAAAAAAAACAGAAACTGTCACTCAGAGGTATTTATTTGGTATTAACTGTCTAGTTTAAAGCAAAGACTGTTAACATCAAAATGATCTCAGGAATACTATAAGAGCCATTAAAAACATTTTTTCAAGAAAATTTATCAAAACATATCAAATAGATTAGACAAGCAGGACAAATCACATTTAAGCCTTTACTTGGGAAGAAATTCCACCAATAAGTTAATTTACATTAAATTAAAATATAAAACAAGGACAAGACAGAACCGTTGAAAAGTTTCGAAAAAAAAAAAAAGCTCGAGCAAAGCGACACGTCACTAGAAACAAACACACAAACATCAAACCAGTAACTTTTCCATCATGTATGAAAAAAATGCAACTTCTGAGTTCACAGGCGAAAACAAAAACCTTTTTTTACATACTATAGGAATAAATGCTTCTGCCACAAACACAAACGATTCACAAACACAGTTTATATCGACCCGCCTGACTGCAGATGATCCGTCTTATTCCGAAATGTGTTTAAGCTTAATAGAAACAACCGACAAGCTTACATTCAAAAACTGTTTTTGTCRTTGTTTCACCTTCTTTAACACCTAAAACAAAGACTACTGAAAACTCTGGAGCTCACTTGAAGCTCCGACTCTTAATGCATCAAAAAGAACGTCACTTATCCAACGATCACGTTATCTATAAGTTTAAGTGACTGAAAAACACGATGCACGTTTGCTGCTCTGCTTCTGGAACTTCATGTCCAACGCGAATCTTACAAATAAAACYGAAACATAACACAATCCAATTATAGGCTGACTGTGTGTTGATTGCAGATTGTTAGGAAATCAGGGCAGCCAAGTTTTGTTCTTMAACATAGTTAGCTTAAACACGTTGGTCTGTAATAAACAACGGACTCTTGTATCTTAGTGTCTAAATCCTGAAGAACAGGAAGTTCAGATGACATGTGGCCTCGATCGGTTAGCAGCAGATTTGTTTCCAGGTAAACAACAGGAACTAAAACACCAGAGGGTGCAAACGAGCATGCCTTGTTGGGATGATGGGGAACAACAAGAAGAGGCCGTGTGGGGCGTCGTCAGGGCGTCTCTGAGCCGATCAGCAACAAGACCTCGTGAGAGATGATGAAGGTGAAGAAGTAGACGCAGAGGTCGGAGAAGACGTCCCCCATCCTCCTGTAGGTGTCCATAGAGCGGTTGATGACCTCAGCGGGGATGCCGGACAGCAGCAGGGCAGCGGTCAGCACAGTGGTTTTGGTCTTCTTCTCTACCTGAGGTTTGACACGTTACATCAAGAAAAACACCAAGTCTTTACAGGCTGATTCAGTTAAAAGAACATAAATGAAGGAATGCATTATCAACCACTGCCACGCCCAGATTATTAGCTTTGAATGATTCTCAGCTACTACCACAGCTAATTGTAGCTCAATATCTGTAAAAGTGACTACCGTATTTATTCGTGTATAATACGATCTCATGTATAATACGACCCCCCTTTTTTTTAGCTTAAAAAGCATAAAAATTGAATCCTCAAACTACCTCCAATTTCATACAGACTTCAAGATTTTTCAGTCTTTGCAGTCTTTATACATATCAGTAAAATGATCATTGGACTGTTCATTTTATTTTAACAACATATGTACTAAAAGGTATTTTGACAACAAATATATATCAGCTGTAGCAGCATCGTATGAATTCTGGCATTTTACACATAGTCCACCAGGAGGCGCTGTAGCATTTTCCTGCATATAAATCATCATTTCTGATTAGATTTCACTTGTTCCTATTACAACGGCTCAAAAAAAGGAAGAAAACCCCCACTTTGACTTCAGACTATTTCTAAAGAATTTTTTGCATGGAACTGCCTTTGTGGCTCGAATTAACATCTCTTACACAAACCCCCACCAGACGTCCTGACGCCTTACTGTTAATAGATAAGAATTGCCACATTCCTGTTCTGAACCCCACAAGTTCTGTTGCTTCCATCCCCCATAAGCACAGGACTGTCTGTTGGTTCCTCTTCAAAGGGATCATAAATGCCTTTAACCAGACTCTTCGGCGTACACTGGGAGCAAAGGACCTACATTCTTCATTAAATGTGAAAAAAATGAGAAAAGATAAAGG